ATCCTTTGCAGATGACACAAAAATCAGTATGAAAATTACCTCGGCTGAGGACATTGAAAAACTTCAAGCTGATATTAATAAAGTTTTCGACTGGGCATCAGAAAATAACATGATGTTTAACAGTGATAAATTCCAGGTACTCAGGTACGGTAAAAATGAGGACCTTAAACATAATACAGAGTACAAAACACAATCAAATGTACCCATAGTAGGAAAACAGCATGTAAAGGATTTGGGAATAATAATGTCTGACGACCTAACGTTTAAGGAACATAACCAAGCAAATATTGCGACAGCCAGAAAAATGATAGGATGGATTACGCGAACTTTCAAATCCAGGGATCCCATCACAATGGTTGTACTCTTCAAGTCACTTGTGTTGTCCCGTCTTGAGTACTGCTCAGTACTCACTTCCCCCTTCAGAGCAGGAGAGATTGCTGAAATAGAGGGAATACAGAGAACATATACGGCACGCATAGAAGCAATAAAGCACCTAAATTATTGGGATCGTCTCAAAGCCCTCCAAATGTACTCACTAGAAAGAAGACGAGAGAGATATCAAATAATATACACCTGGAAGATACTGGAGGGCCAAGTACCAAATCTACACAGTAAAATAACAACGTACTGGAGTGAACGACATGGAAGAAAATGTAGAATAGAACCAGTGAAGAGCAGAGGTGCCATAGGCACAATCAGAGAACACTGAATAAACATCAGAGGTCCGCGGTTGTTCAACGTCCTCCCAGCAAGCATAAGAAATATTGCCGGAACAACCGTGGACATTTTCAAGAGGAAACTAGATTTATTCCTCCAAGGAGTGCCGGACCAACCGGGCTGTGGTGGGTATGTGGGCCTGCGGGCCGCTCCAAGCAACAGCCTGGTGGACCAAACTCTCACAACTCGAGCCTGGCCTTGGGCCGGGCTTGGGGAGTAGAAGAACTCCCAGAACCCCATCAACCAGGTATCAACCAGGTAACATTATGCATTTACGAATTAATAAAGTAATTTTTTTAAGGATGAAGAAAGTATTAGATTTTTGGAAGGAAAAATAATAGCTTTTCAGAACTATAGTTTTTATAAATAAAATAAATACAAAAATTTAAAACTGAAAATAACCATGTTTTTTTAACAATGAAGAAAGTAATATTTTAAAGAACGAAAAGCTAAATAATTTGTAAGAGTTTTTGTGCAATTTCTTTTGTGAAGGTCGAATATTGCGAACGATTCATTCGTTTGTTGAAACGACATTCATGAAACTCGCTGAGATATTCGTATGACCTGGAAACCGAACTTTCAAATTCATTCGTTTCAAATTCGTATTTGAAACGAATGTAAAAACAATAGCCAAAAAAGTTGGAGGAAATATTGACAACTCAAAGAGCCATATGGGCCAACAAAAGCACATACTCTACTGCAAAACATTATAACCAAAATTTCCCTAGTTGGCAATTAAGAGATGGTGTTAAGGGAGTTTCGTTTCTCATTACTCGTGTCATAAAGGTGGTTTTATGCTTCATTATCATGTTTGACTTTTAAGAAGTGATGTCGGTAAATTTTTCAAGTTAGCTCTTTTCCAAGACATTTTTGTAGCTTTATGGTAAAGGTTTTTCGACACTATAGACAAAATTAACCTCACGATCAGTCTCTGTTGTGCAATTTAAGTATAGTCGTTAAACCCTTCGTTTATCTAGCGAAGGTTCTACTCTCTTCGATGCTATACGCCACAAACTTTCATAAACTAATGTCTTTCTAACGAAGATTATATTATAGTTTTTTTCCAACGAATATTTTATTATAGTTTTCCTTCCTCCTCTAAGAGATATCACATGTGTTTTTTATTTGGAGGGTGACTGAGAAGCATTATCACCAAGATAGATTATAATCATTTGTTGTCCTTAAAAATATATATATATATATATATATATATATATATATATATATATATATATATATATATATTTTTTAAAGGGGAGGGAGTACCACCTCTAGCTGGAAGAAAGGGACCCTTAGCCTCGGAGGAAAGCACACATAACGCATTAAAAGGGATGTTTAGGTCCCCTCCAATACAATTTCTCGTGTTCTTTTCTCCTACCACCCCCTTCCTTTTGTGTTTTGTTGTGTTTTATTAGATATTTAAAGGTTACAAGATATACACTAGTTAATACAATGAGTGTGTAAAGATTATGGATCTCTTGGAGCTCCTCCGCTTCCGAACAGGAGTCGAGGACGCAGCAGACGTTTCCCCTCTTGATCGCCACACTGAGGCATTGAAACAAAAAACTGGCAGCTCTTGGGTCTCTGGTGATGCCAATAAGCCTGGAGCCCAATTCTTTGAGAAATCCCAAGGCCATGCACACCCCAGGGACAATGCGTCTCAGACGTTATGGTAACAAAGATGTATTGACCTTCCAGTCACCTGTACTTGATCGATCTTACTGTTTCCCTGTGCTTGGCCGCCCCACCTGCTTGCACCGAAGTGAACATAGGTGTCAGCCAAAGTGGATACACATGTGTAGTCCCACACCAGCTGTCTGCCTCTTTTCCAGGGGTATATTGTGATGCCATCTGGGCGAAGTGCGGGGTCATACGGGTTTTGGTCCCCTTAGATGCGAGGTTCTTTCTTTGTTGGGCACTGAGTTGAGACAAGGCTCCTCTAGATGATGTAATTGACCCCGTTGTGTCTTGCATGCCAGCCCTTTGAGCTTCCGCAGTGCAACCCATGCAGTCCATATTGGTCTGCTTCCACCCTGTTGCAAATACACTTGTATTCAGTGTGAATTGGGGCACCAAGGCGGAGGGCCACTGCTACATGAAAGGATTCTGGATCTAAACGCATACCTGTTGCCGATATGGGTACTGCCAGGAGGAAGTCTCCTGCATGGGGGGCACTCACAGCTCTGAGGCGGGCTTTCTCCTTATCTGATGTTGCGGCTCTGAGCATGGCATCAGCTATTTTTTCCACTAGTGGGTGGTCCCAGCTTGATTGTTTTTCTTGTTGTTGTTGTTGTTGTTGGGTCTATGATGGGTGCTGGGGCTGCAAGAGCATCCCACTGGTTTGAACATTCAATGAAAGCAGGATCGTGTATTCCTGCTGAATCACTCAGGGAGTTCTGGTAGGATATCTATTACAATGTCGTACGATGCATGGGAGGATGAAAGAAAAGTTGGTAGAGCAATCTGGGAGGCTGTGCGGACACCAAGGCCGCCGAGTCTTACAGGGAGGGTTGCTTGCTCCCATTGAGAGTCGGAAGGTTAAGGACTTTCTCCAGAATGGACCTCAGAAGGGTGCCATACTTATTTAATTTAGGGCTGTTGTAGGATGGAGAACACCTCAGAAAGTAAGTCAACTTAGGGAGCGATAGGCATCTTGTGAGGAGGAAGAGAGCATCATGGGCATTAATCTTGTCAATCCTGTCCAGCATTCTCTTTAGATCAGTGATTTTTGCCTCCAGGACCTCCTCGATACCTTGTGGGCCAATGGGGGCACCCAGGAGGGTGCAGTCAGGTGGCTCGACAACGAGATGTCTGGAAGAACAGTTTTTATTTGGCCTTTTTATTTTATTTTTTTATAATTTTTTAAAGTATATTCTACGCTGTCATGGCCGTAAAAAAAGAGAAAACAGCATTAAAACCGATGCGGGCCCATACACTCTTTGAAGTCTTTATGTAATTAATAATAAATTAAAAACCAGAACAGTTTAATATTTAGCGGCTAAACAGGCCATAAATGATACAAAATTGCCGTAAAACATGTATATTCCGCGATATTTAATGGGAGAACCAGGCTCAAGACAATTTTTGCACAAATTACCTATAAGTAATGACATGTTTTCTTCGTATGGACACGTTGCCCTCTCAAGGCAAACTGTCCTCCTAACAGAGCGTCGCACTTTGACGTATACTCTGCTTAAGGCCAAAATTTGTCGTACTAGAAAATAGTAGCGGCTCGCAAAATTGCAATCCGTTCTCCCACTTGCTTATAGTCAATATCTGGCTTAATAATAAGTGCATATGTGACATATTAATTTATTGTGAATATTTGAATTTACCCTTAAAAGCTGAATAGAAAACACCGACCTAACCTAACCTTCTTAGTACGTTAAGATAAGCATCTTATTGCTTCTTAATTACAATTAGTACTTAACCTATACGTATATGTATATTGCAGTTTTATCAAAATAATAAAACAAAACTAAAATATTTAAATAAATTGTAAAGTAACTCAGGATATTGTCAAAATTTTGTATAAAATCTCTATTGTTTAATAAAACTGAAAAAAGAAATTCCAAATATTAAAACTGGTATAAAGCAAGTCTGTAGGAAGAGTTTGTACCTTGAAAACAAAATATAACTTGGAATATACCACATATGTACTTATTAATATGCCAAATATTGACTATAAGCAATAAGTCACATATGTACTGTCTTGTGTGAGAGCGGGTTGCAAATTGACATGCTCTCCCGTTTTCTGTTTTCTGTCCTCTGTTAGGTTAAGATAAGGACACTTTAGTACAACAGTTTCTTGACGTTGGAAAACCTTAGGAGAACGGGCTGCTAAATCGGCAGTTTGTGGAATCTTGAGAAGTATAGCAAGACGCTAAGTTACTGTTGTCAGGTCAAGGATGAAGGTTGGTGGTTAGACAAGGGGTGGCAGGCTGTCCCATTTATACAAGGGGGCAGGCTGCGGCAGATATGCAAGAGGGGAAGGCTGCGGCAATTATGAGGGGGAGGGCAGGCTGCGCCAATTATATAATGGGGCTGATGAACAACGTTGAACAAATATGAACACAAATAACCAGTTACTGGGTTCAATGTGTGTGGAAGCCTCATTATGGAGCCTTAGAAACAAGAAAAACAATGTAATTTGGCCATAAAATAAAAATAAAATAGTGAAATACCTTCATTTCAGCGGCAATGATTTGGACCCCCTGGCGCGATAGGCAGTAATGTTATATAATGATTTCTGCCATGACAGTGAGAGCAAATTATATTATTACAGTTCTTTTTTGTCATTGTTAATATAGCAGTATCTTCAGCAACACTATCAGCATCACACTCATCACCATCGTCACTATCATCAGCATGATTATCACCATCACTATCAACAGCATCTTTATCACCAGAATCACAATTGCTTTTACTATTTCATCATCACCATAACTCTCAGTTCAATCACTACCACCATCAAAATAAGAAGTACTGAATTAGAATATGCATTTCATCAGACAATGTAATCCATATCCATATGTATGAATTAGATTGTGTGTCAGTCTGGGGTCAGAGGCCAACTGATGGTGGGTACGTGTTGAACATGGGCAGGTTCGACGTCCACTTGACACAGTGCCAATAATACCCTCCACAGCGAGTCTTGCAATGCCATATTAACTGAAATCTGAATTATTAGTAGTAGTATTTTTTAATCTTGCCGTTAGGGAGCCGGCCGGCCGAGCGGACAGCACGCTGGACACGTGATCCTGTGGTCCCGGGTTCGATCCCGGGCGCTGGCGAGAAACGATGGGCAGAGTTTCTTTCACCCTATGCCCCTGTTACCTAGCAGTAAATAGGTACCCGGGTGTTAGTCGGCTGTCACGGGCTGCTTCCCGGGGGTGGAGACCTGGTCGAGGACCGGGCCGCGGGGACACTAAGCCCCGAAAAAAAACTCAAGATGGTCAAATATTCACACTGGTGTCTGCAAAATTTTCGAAAAACTCTATCATACTTTGCCCGTAATAGCCTGTAGAATGTTTTCATGATATCACCTTACCCTGGATCCCCCAATATCCGCCCTCCTGCTGCCTCCCTAGTGCCAACCCTTCCATTTTGCATGGCCAAAGTATGCTTGTGGCCTACAAACTGGTACCAAAAGAGACAGATATATAGACACATATAGAGACAGAAACAGAGAGAGAGAGAGAGAGACAGTGAGAGTCAAAAACAGAAGTCAGGTACAGAGACGTGAGACAGACACAAAGAGAGGCACAAGAAGAGATCCGGTTGACATAGACAACGCTGGATGCCTCACGCAGTAAAGAATAAGTAGTGTGAGAGAGCACGCTTGGAAACACGGCACCAAAGGAGACACAGGAAAACAAATGAAGGAAGCTGGGCACGTCTCTGATCTGGAATGCGAACCTGGACAAAGCAAAACAAAAATATGGAAGAATTCAACAATATGGATATGAATATTAACATCAGAAAGAAGAAAAGACTAGAATCTGGAAAAAGAATCTTGACTATGAGACATGGCTAAATGGATAAAAGCTGGAATTAAGAACATAACGGGCCTGGAGAACATTCCACGAAGAGCACCTCCTGGAAGGAACTTCCTGGGTAGGTGAGGTTTTCCAAGTTTTCCAAGTGTTTCAGTTTCCAAGTTTTCCAGTTTTCCAAGACACGTGGGTTGTGGTGGGGGGCTCCTTGGATATTGATGCTGGGAATAAAGTTCGATCATCCTAAACTTGCCTGCAAAGGAATTCTGGAACCTGTTGTTACGGCCGCCTCTGATGTGTGGACGGCACTGAAGCGGTACTGGAATTGCTTCACGATTCAAGTACATCCCCTCCCCCTTTTAAAGCGTAAATTGAATAATTATAAATAAAGTTGACATATGCTTGATATCCAAGTGAAGTGGTACGCTAGAGCTCACCGTTAAGATAGAGTGAACAACTTACACTATCAACATATCCACTAAATATCAAAAGCAAATTTGACCTTTCAGCCTTGGTCTAATAATTAGCAAGTCTATAATAGGCAAGTTGTTCAGTGTGTCTGTTTGAACTTTTATTACGTGATTACCATCATTCCAAGTGCTTTATTGGCTGTGCTATGTAATCACTTGGATCATTTGAGATTTGAACTCGGGCCTGGATGAATGACAAGAAAAAGTTGGGATGGTGTTTGAAGGACCAGGTGAAGAACAGTGTCCTAACAGCTATTCCAAAGGAGCAGACGAAGGACCAGCATCCACGAATATCTCCGAGGCTACTCGGGCCAATAAGGACCCGTATATTCCCCGCGGGAAGTGGGTGAGAGCAGCCACGAATATTTATGAAACCTTGGAATATATGTGAAGCAAATTTTTTCCCCTTGTGTAGCAGTCGGTGTAATACATTCAAAGGGGGAGAGGCGGGAATTAAATGATGTTTAATGTTTTTATTGGGTGAAATGTCAGCGGGGGGAAATGTAGATTAGTGTGGGTTCCTTCACGTGTGCTTATTGGAGCAAGTGCGTGTTGAGGGTAAAGTGTGCGGCTGGAGGGATTCTGAGCTAGTGGCACTTACGAACGATAGAGGTAAGGGAGAGGAAAAAGGGGTACAAAGTGAAGCAAAATGGCATTCAGGAATAGAGATAAAGAGAATTGAGAAAATAGATTTGTGTGTGTGTACTCGCCTAGTTGTGTTTGCGGGGATTGAGCTTTGGCTCTTTGGTCCCGCCTCTCAACTGTCAATCAACTGGTGTACACAATCATAAGCGTATTGGACTCTATTATATCTACTTTTGAAACTGTGTGTGGAGTCAGCCTCCACCACATTACTTCCTAGTACATTCCACTTATCAACTACTCTGACACTGAAAAAATTCCTTCTAATGTCTCAGTGGCTCATTTGGGTACTAAGTTTCCACCTGTGTCCCCTTATTCGTGTCCCACCCGTGTTGAAGAGTTTGTCTTTGTCCACCCAGTCAATTCCCCTGAGAATTTTGTAGGTGGTTATTATGTCTCCCCTTACTCTTCTGTTTTCCAGGGATGTGAGGTTCAGCTCCTTTAGCCTTTCCTCGTAGCTCATACCTCTCAGTTTCAGGACCAGTCTGGTGGCATACCTCTGAATCTTCTCTAACTTCGTCTTGTGTTTAACCAGGTATGGATTCCAGACTGGAGCTGGATACTCCAGGATTGGTCTTACGTAAGTGGTATTCAGGGTTCTGAACGATTCCTTACACAAGTTTCTAAAGGCAGTTCTTATGTTATGTCAATACACTGTGGTCACTAATTCCTATTGGGGCTTCAAAATTGACTTCCCTTATTTTTGAGACATTCAAGGTGAATATCAGGTGGAGTCTAGCTGGTTCGTCATTCCCTCTCATTCTTGTGGGTCCCTTGACATGTTGACTCAGAAAGTTCCTTGTAGTCACTTCCAAGAGTTTAGCTCTCCATGTATCTTCACCTCCATGTGAGTCCCCATTCTCCCAGTCTATCTTTCCATGGTTGAAATCGCCCATGATTAAGAGTCTGGATCCATTCCTGCACGAAACTGAAGCTGCTCTCTCTATTATGTTAATGGTAGCCATGTTGTTTCTCTCGAACTCTTGTCTGGGTCTTCTGTCATTTAGTGGAGGGTTGTAAATGACTGCCACTATTAATCTTAGGTCCCCTATTGTCATAGTTCCTGTTATGTAATCTGTGTGTGTGTGTATTTCCGAGGGGAATAAATTTTTGAAATAAACATTGAAGACGAAGCGTCTTAAATAAAAGAAGGAAGCAAGCACGAATTAAAGAACAAGTACCAAGAGAGACAGTCTTTACGTAGGCCAAGACGAACAGTAGACTTGAGAGAGAAGAAGCGGAGAAAGACTAGAGAGAGAGGAAGATGAGAGAATTGAACTAAGACTATGGAAGTATTACAAGAAAACTTTATCAAATGATAGCTCTGGTGCACAGTAATAATATAGTTGATGCTAATATTAACCTTCCGAAGCACGTTCTTCAAGTGACTGTCAACGGTACCGAAGCCGTTCTCAGTTTCTAAAGAGTTTGCGATCTCGAGGATTCGTCACGGGTTTGTGGTCTTTTGCGAGTTCGTGACCTCTTCTGAATTTGATGTGGTCTCAGGGGCAGGAGATGGGATAAAGAGCTGAGGGATTTAGTGGTCATATCACCCTTACCTGTTCTCCAAACCAGCGTAATCAACCCGGGTTCGAACCCTAGACAGGTTGGGCTTCGTCTCACCATTCCTTCCCTGTTCGCCCATGAGCAAATACCAGCAAGTGAGGGGGGGGGGGGAAGACCTCTTCGTCTGCTCATAAGAGTCGCAACACGTCAGCTCCTGCTTTTTCTGCAAGTCTAGTCAACACAAAATGTTTTCTGGTCAACACAAAATCTTTTCTGATCAACACAAAATGTTTTCTGGTTATGTCTTCCAGTTCACAGGAGGCAGCGTTCATGAGCTCGATGTTGTCACGCGTAAGGAAAACATTTGTCAACTCAAGGAGCCGTGGCAGGTGTTAGTCGTAGAGCCGTGGTAGGTGTAGGTCGTAGAGCCGTGGTAGGTGTTGGTCGTAGAGCCGTGGCAGGTGTTGGTCGTAGAGCCGTGGCAGGTGTTGGTCGTAGAGCCGTGGTAGGTGTTGGTCGTAGAGCCGTGGTAGGTGTTGGTCGTTGAGCCGTGGCAGGTGTTGGTCGTTGAGCCGTGGCAGGTGTTGGTCGTAGAGCCGTGGTAGGTGTAGGTCGTAGAGCTTTGATTGTTGTTGGTCGTGAACGCTGACTAGTGCTGACCAGAGCGCCCTGAATCCCATCAAGGCATAAACGCAGTCAAAACATATATATACAACTTATGCCCAAGAAGAATTTAAATGAATGAGAAGACGTTTGAGATGGATTCCAAAACCTTAAAATAGGAGATTAAAGGAGAGTGCCAAACGGAATGGAAACAGAAAAGAAATGAACGACACCTGATAACCATCTCCCATTTCCGAATCCCCAGGAATATGTTTTGGGGTCGCAATGCCTAGCATGAATTGGTGAAAAGGGGAAAAGTTAGATCACATTTTGAAAAAACGAAGCCTACTTTGTTCCGCATGTTTGACATTTTTGTTTAGAAAGTTCCGGAATTTGATATTGCCAGCAAAGGTAATTAGTTTTAGTCAGCGGGGCCAGATAAACGCAACCAGGTTTGGGAATGGTTGGGTTGATATTTTTGCCAGTGGTGGAATTTCAGTCAACCTTTCCTACTAGTCCAGGAACTATCATAAGGGAAGGAGGGAGGTGGCTGAGAATCCCGGGTGCTGAGAGTGCTGGATGCTGAGGTTGCAGGCTGCCAGGAGTGCAGGCTGCCAAGAGTGCAGGCTGCCAAGAGTGCAGGCTGCCAAGAGTGCAGGCTGCCAAGAGTGCAGGCTGCCAAGAGTGCAGGAGTGCAGGCTGCCAAGAGTGCAGGCTGCCAAGAGTGCAGGCTGCCAAGAGTGCAGGCTGCCAAGAGTGCAGGCTGCCAAGAGTGCAGGCTGCTGGCAGAGTGCAGACAAAAAAAAAACTGAATTTGGAATATGTTTGTAAGGAATATTTTTTTGGTTCAAATGATACACGTCAAAAGAACAGACATTCCATTTTTACCTACGAACTTTTCCATATTTTTATATATTTTTTATCTGAGAACAGTTTTTTTTCCTTTTTGTTAACATGTTTTAAACACGTCTGTGACAGAATATATTCGAAATAAATCATGGAATAACTGGCTGAGCGTTCAGGTTCAGACTGAACTAGACAATATATTTTTAAATCACATATATTGCCTGACTAATTGCGTTTGTTGAGGTAGAGCTTCGGCTCTTTGTATTTGTCTCTCAACCATTTATGAACTCTCCTACGTACTCACCTGGTTGTACTCACCTAGGGTTGAGGGGCGGGGGTTGAGCTCTGGCACTTTGATCCCGCATTTCAACTGTCAATCAACTGGTGTACAGATTCCTGAGCTTGCAGGGCTCTACATATCTACATTTGAAACTGTGTATGGAGTCTGCCTCCACCACATCACTGCCTAATGCATTCCATCTGTTAATTACTCTGACACTGAAAAAATTCTTTCTAACGTCCCAGTGGCTCATTTGGGTACTCAGTTTCCACCTGTTTCCCTTTGTTCGTGTACCACCCGTGTTAAAAAAAATGACATTTTTATCTACCTGTCAATTCCTCTGAGAATTTTGTAAGAAGTGATTATGTCTCCATGAGTTTTCTTGTCTTCCAGCGACGTGAGGTACATTTCCCGCAGCCTTTTCTCGTAACCCATGCCTCTTGTTCTAGAACTAATCTAGTGGCATACCTCTGAATTTTTTCAAACTTCGTCTTGTGCTTGACAAGGTTTGGGTTCCATGCTGGGGCCGCATACTCCAGGATTGGTCTTACATATGTTGTATACAAGTTTCTGGATGATTCCTTACACAGGTTCCTGAAGGCAGTCCTGATGCTAGCCAGCCTTGCATCGGCCGCTGATATTATTATTTTGATGTGGGCTTCAGGGAACAGGATTGGCGTGATATCAACTCCTAGATCTTTCTCTCTGTCCGTTTTATGAAGGACTTCATCTCCCATTCGGTATCCTGTGGCTAGCCTCATGTTTCCACTGCCTAGTTTCATTACCTTACATTTACTCGGGTTGAACTTTAGTAGCTATTTGTTGGACCATTCCTTCAGTCTGTCTAGGTCATCTTGTAGCCTCCAACTATCTTCCTCCGTCTTAATCCTCCTCATAATTTTTGCATCATCAGCAAACAATGATGAAAACGAGTCTATACCATCTCGGAGATCATTTACATATTTCAGAAACAGTATAGGTCCAAGGACTGATCCCTGGGGACTCCACTGGTGACGCCTCGCCAGTCAGAGCCCACACCCCTCACAGTGACTCGCTGCCTTCTGTTGCTTAGGTACTCCCTTATCCAATGGAGTACCTCTCCTTTCACTCCCGCCTGCATCTCCAGCTTGTGCACTAGTCTCGTGTGTGGTACTGTGTCACGTGTATTTGAAGCTATGTATCTTATAAATCTTATATATCTTATAAATATTCTATCACTAAATAATCTTTACCGTAATAGACAATTACTGGTACATGTACCGGACGAGGAGGTACTGGGGGGGGGGGGGTTCAGGAGTCCCGGTATAACCTACCAGTCAAAGGTCGCGAGTTTAATGACTAAAAGCTAATTTTCATGCATCTCCACATGCCTAACTCCAAGCAATCCTTCTTAACACTTGTTAAGATTAGACATCCAACCGATACGTCTCAAAATAAAGGCAGTAACGATGTTTCAGTCCATCCTGAAACATTTTCAGGTCTTTCTTTACAAGACTCGGTAATCGTCCGGAACGGACCGAAATGTCGTCAATTCCTCAAGATTCTTTCTAAATATATAAAAATAGGCTCTGCGCCACATTAATATGCAAATAACCATGGCAGCACCACCATGACCTCTAACCATGGCAACACCACCATGACCTCTAATCATGGCAGCACCACCATGACCTCTAATCATGGCAACACCACCATGACCTCTAATCATGGCAGCACCACCATGACCTCTAACCATGGCAGCACCACCATGACCTCTAACCATGGCAACACCACCATGACCTCTAATCATGGCAACACCACCATGACCTCTAATCATGGCAGCACCACCATGACCTCTAATAATGGCAGCACCACCATGACCTCTAATCATGGCAGCACCACCATGACCTCTAACCATGGCAACACCACCATGACCTCTAATCATGGCAACACCACCATGACCTCTAATCATGGCAGCACCACCATGACCTCTAATCATGGCAGCACCACCATGACCTCTAACCATGGCAACACCACCATGACCTCTAATCATGGCAACACCACCATGACCTCTAATCATGGCAGCACCACCATGACCTCTAACCATGGCAGCACCACCATGACCTCTAACCATGGCAACACCACCATGACCTCTAATCATGGCAACACCACCATGACCTCTAATCATGGCAGCACCACCATGACCTCTAACCATGGCAGCACCACCATGACCTCTAACCATGGCAGCACCACCATGACCTCTAATCATGGCAGCACCACCATGACCTCTAATCATGGCAGCACCACCATGACCTCTAACCATGGCAGCACCACCATGACCTCTAACCATGGCAGCACCACCATGACCTCTAACCATGGCAACACCACCATGACCTCTAACCATGGCAACACCACCATGACCTCTAATCATGGCAACACCACCATGACCTCTAACCATGGCAACACCACCATGACCTCTAATCATGGCAACACCACCATGACCTCTAACCATGGCAACACCACCATGACCTCTAATCATGGCAACACCACCATGACCTCTAATCATGGCAGCACCACCATGACCTCTAACCATGGCAGCACCACCATGACCTCTAACCATGGCAGCACCACCATGACCTCTAACCATGGCAACACCACCATGACCTCTAATCATGGCAACACCACCATGACCTCTAATCATGGCAACACCACCATGACCTCTAATCATGGCAGCACCACCATGACCTCTAACCATGGCAGCACCACCATGACCTCTAACCATGGCAGCACCACCATGACCTCTAACCATGGCAGCACCACCATGACCTCTAACCATGGCAACACCACCATGACCTCTAATCATGGCAGCACCACCATGACCTCTAATCATGGCAGCACCACCATGACCTACCAGTCCGTATGCCATTTCTGCGAGTCTTTAGCTTATAAAATGTTAAAGACCTCAAGCACCTGTTTGAGGACCCACACCTGGACGACGACCCCTCCTCCCCCCCCCCACAGTGTCACGGTCTAAGGGGCGTCCGGGTGTCTCATCAACAACACACATCCACCCCCAGTGATACTAATTTTCCCTCAACTCAACTCAACAAAAACTAAGGATTGACTTCTGCTTTTCTTGTGCCTACAATTCTGAATATATTCTGTAGCCTGTACCTGGACGCGGGGAAACACTGTCAGCTCGACCCACTGTCTGGCCGACACAGTCCAGTCGACCACAGCTTCCCGGGCAAAGACGTGCAGACGATGTTGTCACGCTAACGTAGCTGAAGATGTAATGACCAAACCACACACCAGATGATGACGAGACGACGACGTTTCGGTCCGTCCTGGACCATTATCAAGTCGAACTAAAATGTCCTCCACTCTGACTTACTGTCAGATCACTTATTTTCAATAAATTCTATCGTAATCTCAGCTAGGTCATATAGTTTGTCAGAATCTTCTATGATCGTTCCACAGATCTCAAGGCACGAGTGAGTACAAGTTATGGCAATCTTTAATATAAGTTTACTGAAATCAGTAATTTTCACACTTCTTTATCAAACATAAATCAACGAATCATCAATACTCATGACCACTTCTGAATATCGTCGTCATGAGTCTTCAATTGCTTGACCACTTCTGAATATCGTCGTCATGAGTCTTCAATTGCTGAAACTGTGTAGCCTAGTTGCTCGCGCCGACACAAAAATCATTGTTGTCCTTGCACAATTCAAATTTATCACAATGTCTTCCTCTGTCCAGTATAATATTAATTCATTAAATCAATGCCATAAAGTCATGTACACAAAATCATGGCAATAAAAGATGAGTATCTCACAGTCGAAGGAAATAATAATAATAATAGGATATCACCTCTCGTAGAGACAAGAATGAATAATTCTTGTTATACAGCCCCTAACATACATTCGAAATCAATCTCTCAATAAATCTCTTACCCACAGGAAATGATTCATTTCCTGCATCACTCACCACTTTTGTTCCTCACTTTATAATTCAAATCTCGTTACGCAAAAACAAACAAATGTGCAGTAATGAAACCACATTTCCCTGATGCTGGAAATAAAATCATTTCTAGGGCTACCAAAATTCACCCTCCAACATCTGGATTAGGTTAGGTTTACTTAGGTTATGTTTGGTTAGGTTAGGTTAAATTAGGGTTAGTTAGGTTAGGATTGGTGAGATTTTGTTAGATTTGGTCAGGTTAGGTTCATTTTGGGTAATGATTAGTTAGGTTAAGGTAGGCTAGGTTAGGTTATGTTAGGTTCGATTGAGTTAGATTGGGTTTAGTTAGCTTAAATTTAGTTAGGTTTGGGTTTGGTTAGGTTAGGTTTAGCTTGGTTATATTAGTTTGGGTTCTGTAGTTTCGGGTTAGCTTAGGTTGGTTTAGTTCATGCTGGTTTGGTTAAGCCCAGGACTGATAAGGGTTGACGAGTGATTGACAAACATATATGATTTTTGTTGTTAGTGTATAATTAAATAAACTGAGCAAAAAAGTGGTTAATTTTTATTTATTTATTTATTTATTTATTTATTAAAGCACGTGATATTCTCTCCGATCTCTTCATATATTCTGCTACTTTCGAGTGTCTATTATTTTATTTTTTATTTGGAAGATAATGAATTCAAAGGATAACAAAAACTCTATCCAGAGTTGGTATTGATTGAAGGCCATTTGTTCATTCAGTGCAAGGTTCTGCTCCTCCTCCATGACCTGCGATCGAAAATGCGAGCTATTTGCAATTGATGTCACTATTGTTGCATCTTATGATGCTAATGTTGCTGTTTAGTTAGATGTTATCGTGCAAACAATGAGCGTGTGACAAAGGGGACACACACACCCTGACCTATCTATCTCCAAACATGGCTTCTCTACATTTCGAAAATTTTTAGTCCTGTTTTTTTTTGTGTGTCCCTCTAATCTGACGCCCTTGTGTGATTTTTTTTTTTTGGGGGGAAGGGGGGTTGAGTCTGCTTGTCCGGATGTGTTGGAGTGTGAGGCTACGTTGTCTGCGTATCTTTATGTCTGCCGGTGTACATGATTGCGTTTGACTGTATATCTGAATGTCTGCTGCTGGCATATGGGATTGCGTGGATCGGAATGGCCGGTCTGCTGGCGTGTGTGTATCTGCGTGTAGCGCTGCCTCCTGATCCTATCTCCGTAATGAAACAATAAATCAATCCCCCTCTTCTTCCTATCCACCACCGGCATGGGCGCCTTCTTCTGCGCCAACCTTTTTTTTTTTGTTTGCTTCTCGAAGCTTCCTTGCCGATAGATGAATCAAAATATGGGTGATAGATATGAATACCTCGAAGACCAAGGCCAGGCTTTATCAAGCATTTACGCAACCACTAACGAAACCTGTACATCTTTCTTCAGTCATGGATACTTTATTTTCACTTATTAAACAGTTTATGAGCTCCGAAGCACCACGATGGTTGTTTATAACAATAACAACCTTGGGTTGTGAAGTTTTTCCAAGCTCGTAAACTAATTATTATATAACTGCAAACAAAGCCGCCATGATTAAGAAAAGATGTACAGGTTTCGTATATGATTGCTTGATGAATGCTGCCTATCAGTCGGATTCGGAGGAAGACAAAGACCTCGGGGAGACAAGAAGGATGCGATCACAATGTTGATCGCCTGTGTCCTGGCTGATGACAAAATGCTTCAGTTTGTTTCTTGTGTTGAGATAGGATGAAAGACAAGGGTTACTGGTGTTAAATGCATAGTTTGCGTAGCTCTTGAGCATCCATGTACTGGTGGTTGGCGACAGGTGTCCCGGAACTCACCTAGTTGTGCTTGCGGGGGATGAGCTCTGGCTCTTTGGTCCCGCCTCTCAACCATCAATCAACTGATATACAGATTCCTGAGCCTACTGGACTCTTATCATATCTACATTTGAAACTGTGTATGGAGTCAGTCTCCACCACATCACTGCTTAATGCATTCCATCTGTTAACTACTCTGACACTTAAAAAGTTCTTTCTAATGTCCCAATGGCTCACACACAGAGATCACACTAACGTGATGCATCAAATGAACAATTCCACAAGGATTTGTGGATTTGTGCAAGCTCAGTCGATTAAGGCAGTGTCTGGGATGCTCCCGGACGCAGGTTCGAATCCTCGTCACGGCCCTTGTGGATTTGTCCCAATGGCTCATTTGGGTACTCAGTTTCCACCTGTGTCCCCTTGTTCGCGTACCACCCGTGTTAAACAGTTTATCCTTATCTACCCTATCAATTCCTCTGAGAATTTTGTAGGTAGTGATCATGTTTCCCCGAGCTCTCCTGTCTTCCAGTTTCGTGAGGTGCAGTTCACTCAGCCTTTCCTCATAACTCATGCCTCCTAGTTCTGGGACTAGCCTAGTGACATACCTCTGAACTTTTTCCAGCTTCGTTTTGTGCTTGACAAAGTACGGGCTCCATGCTGGGACCGCATACTCCAGGATTGGCCTTACATATGTGGTATACACATATGGTTGGTGGTTGACGACAAGTCTACTAGTGATTCACTCCATCAAGTCGGGATAGGAAAAAAATATATATAATCCAACTTTAGTTGAGTTTCAACACAAAACTCTTAATTACGTTTAAATTTTTAAATCATATATTAACGTTAAAGATAATTATTGTGTTTGAATTACCACCTTGAGCTTCATAATATTGGTAAAAAAAATATATTTTTCAAAGAACATGTCGTAATATATATATTTTAAGTCACAAGCAGAAAATAAAGTTATATTAAGGGTGAGAATCATACTTAAAATATTTTTGTTCCCAAAAAAAATGGTATTTATGAATTACCTGTAAACTGTAGAGAGGGGATGTCAGAGGCAGGGAATAGGGAATCGATCCAGTGAAGAGTATAGTTGCCGTAGACACAGTGAGAGAACACTGTGTAAAATATCAGAGGCCCCGCGGCTCCTCAATATCCTCCCAGCCAAAAACCTTTTCCAGATCACGGTGTATGAGTGTCATGCCTCATGACGTGTGCAGTACTGTGCCCACTCTGCCAGCAGACTGTAGTTTTAAAATACTGAATCCTTCAGGGGGTCAAGAGTTTTCTGAGGCATGTTGGCTTGGGGACCATTCAAGTTTGACGCGCAAATGTTACTCCTGCGGCCCACAGCGTGATGATGAAGTGATTTGATGAAATATCTGCGGCCCAAAATTGTCACGAGCCCTGTCGGGTATTGGAGTTAAAAGTCAACCGACTTTCCGAAACTGTTTAAAAGTACAGTCTGCTGGCAGAGAGGTTACAGTAATGGATACGCCAAGGGGCATGGAGGCCCTGGCTGATATATATATATATATATATATATATATATATATATATATATATATATATATATATATATATATATATATATGATGAAATTAACATTTTAAACTCAAGGTATTTTTCAGCTAACATTTATACTGAAATAAGACTTACACAACCATCCAAAAACGTGCAACAGTTTAAAGTGTTAATTGTCGACTCATTTCTTTAGCATCTTGTTTAGTATCGCTCTTAGCTAATGGACCATTGCTAATAACATCAGTTAATTTAATATCTAAACACATTCATGTAATATTGGTGTCCTCAGTTGAAGGTTCCTCTTGGCCGCGGTGAATATCGTCAAATGTCTTTTTAAGAGACGATACAGTATTTCATTTTGGCTTTTATACAAGTAATAAAAAAAGCATGTCGCTTCATATTTTTATCGTAGGACGCGAAGAGATTTCATACATGCAACCTGTGGAAAAATAAGGGCAATAATATATTCAAATTTGCATTCGAGTGATATAGGAATCGTGTACATGTTTTATATTCGTCTTGGAAAGGGTATTTCCTGTCCTGAGGGAGACGGAACTTTCAAATATATTAAACTTAATCTCTTTTTCA